TATCGTGATGACGGTGGATAAATTGGGTAAAGTTGTAACCTGCTCAGCACAAGCTGTACATTGGGTGTGTCTGGCGGGCTCACCTCCAAAGTGTAGGCCCTCTCTTGTTGCTTTTGAATTATAACCCAAGGGGAAAAGGTTTAAAAAGAAAAAACAAAATAAAAATGAATAATCAACCTTACTAAGGTTTTAATTGTGTATGAAGGTTTATAAAAACACCTTATAAATATACTGCTACATACATGCCCATTTTCATATGTATATTTTAACTTCTAGATGGCTGAATTAATGTGACAGTTTTCAGGAAAAAGGGGCCTTTAACTTTTCTCTGTCCAAATTCTACCAGTGTTATCAGGGTTTTAGCAGTTGGATGACTGTTTGAATATTAAATGTATCAAGAGTATGTATGGTGGTGTAAACTGTAAAAGCTGAAGTAAAGCCCATGAAGCAAATAGCATAATGCTGAGTCAATGGAGAGATCTAAGACTGCAACTTCCAGCTATTAAATGCTCCGGGAGGACTTGCCATGTGCTCCCAGGAACCTGCAAGGCATGACTATGGGACAAACAGAGCACTACAGGGCAGGCCCCGCCAAAGCAAAGGGCCTTCATAACAGCGCCTTTCAGGTTAGTACAGTTCAAAGTGCTCCACAGTAGAAGTCAGTAATAAGAAAAAAAGCAAAAACAAATATTGATAAAAAAATTTAAATGTAAAAGGACAAAACACCATGGAAACAAAAATTACATTTAAAATAATCCAGAAACAATAACAATACATCAATAAAATTAAGAACAATCCAGAAACCAAGAACTACTGGACATAAAATGTGCATTACTGTCCAACAGGTGGATAAAAGGCTTAAAAAGCCCAAAGAGTAAAATAGAATTAAATTACATATTAGGCACAAATAAGGTAATGTTTGTAAAGAAAACTCAAGTTTTAAGCTTTCAAGTCAGATAACGTCAGCCAAACGTGATAAAACAACTATCCAATCAGCTCCAGTCTGGCTCTAATTGCATTTCCTCTATCCTCAATCAGTGAAGCTCGGAGAAATCACAGTGGAGCCACCAGCAGTCTTGTTTTTCAGCCATTCATTTGCATTCCAGGCTCTGCAAAAACATGTTGAGATGCAACAAGAACACGAACATGCAACTCTACCAAATGCATGACTTCTATAAAGGCTTGTGGCCAAATGTGGGTATGATTCAACTGAATGTCATAAATGAGTCAGTGCTAAACCATAATCTGCACTTTAAACCTCCCTCAGGAGTCGCACCGACAGCTCAGATTCAGAACGCCGAGTCTTCTCCAGCCTCTAATACCAAAGGTTTAATGAGTGCGAGCCAATTTAGGAAGTCAGCTTGTGATTGAGGACAAAGTATAAAGTTAATCGCAAAGCTGTGCACGGTATATTTATATCAGTCTAATTGCAGGCCATCGTGGATGATTATACGACAACATCATGACTGGGAACGCAGGGTGAGGTTCTGATAAACAACCGGAAAACAAGGAAGACATTTACTTTTGCATATTTCAGATATTTAGTTAGGCAAGTTAAAGGACTGCACCCACCTTCCAAGTGTGAAAGGTTATGAAAAACTATGTGCAGCTTTTAAAAAGAACTTGCTGCTTTAAAATTCAAGGCAGCTCAGAGCCTGCTGATTCTTGCCAGCTTTAACCCACTCCAGTACCTCATAATCACATAAATGTCTTGACACTCCCCTTTCCAGAGAAGTCAGATGAGGAGTGTGAGGTTAGAGTGAGCATAACCTCACCTGGAACGCAGATGCTTCGCTCTGAAAGAAAAGATAGAAACTGTTTGAATGTGTTGGCGGCATCTGCACGAAAGCCAGAGAGAGTCTTCAGTCCAGATTCAGGCCAATGCGTGCAGTCAATAAGAGCTTGTTCCTGGATAACCACGGATCGTCCTTTCAAAGCACAAAGACGTAACGCTCTCTTAGAAGCAGCCATATGTGAAATGACAGAGGACTGAGTGATCACAGTTTGTGCAAATGACGAGAAACCGAGTGAAAAGGCAACATCTCATCCATTTATTCACCTTCTTATCAATACATACGTACAAGAGTAAAAAAACAAAAACAAACATCTCAGCTCAGAGTCATTCACTGTGCCACAGAAGAACGATTACAATCGAGTGCTACAGCAGGCATGAAAATACTGTACCACAACTATGGATAGAAAAATAAACTTCAGACATTTCAACTA